TATTGTAGACAGAGCAACTGAGGTTCGAGAGAAAGGAAGCAAGCTATTTGATGGATCACATGCTGGTTAGTGGAGAGTCAGGATTTTAACCCCGGGCCGGGTGCCCCCAAAGCCTGTGCTCTTTGTGGAACCCCAAGTTGCCTGGGGACCGATGGATCCCGGCAGTGAGGTACAGACCTAGAGGGGAGAGACCAGACTCGCGCCTGTTAGAGGGGCTGACCAGGCAAGGCCTGCACACAGGACGTGGGGGAAAAGACATTCCTGGTGGAGGTGACCACCTGAGCCAAGGCCTGAGTGCAGGGAAGGTTCAAGGTGAGCACCAAGGAGCTGTCTGTCTGTCTGGGTAGAATCTCTCGGACCTTTTTCGTTGATCAGTCAGTAAGAAATACATTTTACTCGGTGCACACATATACCCACACTCACAGTGTTAACTTTACTGTGTGCCTTGCACGGCCCCACTGCGCTGCAGACGACCGGGGTGGGGCGTGTTGAGGAAACGGGGGCTCCAAGACTGGGTACCGCTTCCCGCCTCTGTGCCTCAGTTTTTCACCTTTAACGTGGGGGTAAGAACAGCCCCCTCTCACCCTGAGTGGCTGAGAAGAAGAAGCTAGATGCTGGGAGCCGAACAGTCAGCAAAGTGTGGAGTGAGTGCTTGGTAAAGGTCACCTTCCTGCTGCCCTCGGAAGGAAGAACAGGGCTGGAGCAGGGGGTGGTGGCTGAGAAGCCCCGAGAAGAGGGGAGGGCCTTATCAAAGCGGCTGCTCTGTGTGCTTTGCTCTGGGGAGCATCGAGATCACAGAATTCAGAGCTGCAAGGCGTGATGTGATGTGATCACAGCCCGGCAGCTGTGTTTTGAGACCCTCAGCCCCCAGGGGTGTGAATGGGTTGCCTGGGAGAGGGCAGTTGCTAGGGAGCGCCCAGCGTTTGCTTTGCCCGAGGCTGCTCTGCCTCCCTCTCTGGGAAGGAGAACGGGGGCAACAGTCACACCAGCCCCATCATAGCCACACTCCTGGGCTCAGCTGAGCTGTACCCTAGGCCCAGCTGGTGAGCTGGAGTTGGAGTCCAGGGCCCCCTGCTTCCAGCCCTCCTGCCTCGGTGAGGGAGACTGGAGAGGGGCAGGCTCTGGAGCAAGAGGGACCAGGCTCAAGTCTGGCTCCCCGCCTTCCTGGCTGTGTGACAGAGGGCAAATACTGGAACCTCTCTGAACCTCAGTTTTCTCACCCGTGTATGGGCGACGAGGATGGCCGTCCCATGGAGCCTCGTGGAGAGTTCGAGAGAGAATGTGTGCCCAGCAGTCTGGCACACAGTGGGGCCTCTGTCTGGGGCGCTGCGTTGGTCGCCTGTCTTTCCTGAGGGTGCCGCCTTTCCTGTCTCAGGCTCACCGGTCCTCTGCTCTGTTCTGGCTGCAGGTGATTACCCTGGAAGGCTGGGTGGAGATCATGTACTATGTGATGGATGCTCACTCCTTCTACAACTTCATCTACTTTATCCTGCTTATCATAGTACGTGTCAGGGTAGCTGGGGCTCTCTGGGGAAGCTCACGGACCCAGGGACCAGGGATGGGACTGGGGGGTTCCCAGGGAGCCCCTCAGAGCCAAGAGAGCTGAGTGGGAGGGAGCAGGAGGGGCAGGGTTTCTTTTTTTTTTTTTTTTATTTTAAGTCATCCGTACACCCAACACGGGGCTCGAACTCACAGTCCTGAGACCAAGAGTCGGGTGCTTCACTGACTGAACCAGCCAAGCCATTTTTAAATGCCTCCGAGCAGCGGGTGACTGAAGGGACTCATCAGCGCGGCTGCGGGAAGCATCCATCACTCTCGATTGCCTTCATTTCTCATTTCTGGGCGTTTAAGACCATCTAGTCGCTCCTGCTCGTGTTTCTCTGCCTCGTAGTCTCTGGGAATACATTCTTCTCACGACCGTAGCTAGGTGCAGCCCCAGGATGGGAGCTTGTCTAGGGCTCCAGCTTGTTCCTCTTTTCCCGTGGTGGGAAGGGGAGATGCTCTGAAACAGAAGCCCGGGGCTGCTTCCCCACAGGGCTCCCTGAAATTCTCGGATGCAGGGGGCGGGGGTGGCTTAGGGGGTGGAGGCAGGGCTCTGTCTGCCTCACGGAGCAGGGTCCTTCCGGGAAGCCCCTCCTGCCTCCCTCCACAGTCTGCCCAGAGCGAGCTTATCCACCTTGTCATGCCTGACCGCGGCTTCAGCCACAGCACGATCCCCAAAATGTCAAGGTGATTCTCTCCTGGGCGAGTCAGTGCTGGCTCACTCCCTACTGCTGTGAGGCTGGATTCTCTGGTGTCCCGATGGTGGGAGAGGGCATGCTTGGCTCTCTGGGGCAGCACCTTTTCCTGAGCTGTTGGGACCTTGACCTGAGGGTTCAGGACAAGCTGGCAAGTGACCCGAGACGTACCTGCTGTTGGTTTTGCTCTGATGCCTTCCTGGGGGACGCGGGGGCCTTGGACCTGTAAAGAGACCCCCAGATAAAAAGAAGGGGGTTGAGACTTTGTTCAGCATTGCCCTTCATCCATTGGTTTGTTCATTCCCCAGCACCATCAGGGAGACCTGCCCTGCTCCAGGCCCTGAGCCGAACACTGGGCACTGAGCAGTGAGGTGGGCCCAGCCTTGTCCTCGAGGAGCTCACAGTCTTGGGCGGGGGGCGGGAAGATGGGCTACGCTTGACATTGACCAGACAGCATATTAGGAGCCACGGCAGAAGGAATCCTGAGAGGTTGAGGGAGCCCAAAGGAGTTTTCTAATCTAGCTTGGAGGAGGAAGAGGGGAGTGGGAGGCTTCCTGGAGGAGGTGATTACCAGAACTGAGCCTTAAAGGCTGAGGGCAGGCAGCCAGGGGGAGAGCCTCTTGGGCAGGGGGCAACTTGCAGAGACCTTGACATGGACAGAGTCCTGACTGGAGGCACTTCGAACCACTGGGGTTGCTGGAGGAGCCTCAAATTCCAGAGAAGCACTGGAGAATGTGGTCTGCCCCTCCTGATAGAGTTAGGGGTGGGGATGTCAAGTTGATAACTCCCAGCGTGACACGAGCCACGTCTGTTAGCTCCCCCGAGTCCCGTGGGGGATGGTGACGGCACCTAGGCTTATGGGTTCTCAGGAGGATTAGATGAGACAGAGTCTGAGGCCTGAATGACCCCTGGCACACAGTAAGCCTCAATAAATGTGCCCTGCCACTTTTACTGCTGGTATTTTTGGGCCCCAGGTGGCTCTGTCACAAGAGAAAGGGTACTGGCAGGGGGCTGAGGATGTTGAACTTTTCTGGGTGCTGGGAAGGGTCCGGAGAGCAAAGCCTGAACCACCGGGCTTCCATTTTGCCCTCACAATCCTGGCCATGCAGGGCCACCTACCCATTCTGTTCCTCAGGTGAGGATCCTGAGCCCCAGAGAGGTGAGAGGTCCCCAGCCCTCAGACTCTGGTGCCCAGCGCTCCCTCTGGTTGGAAACTTGTTAAGCTTGTCTTGCCTGAGCCTTGGGTTTTACAGACGGGGAAACGGAGGTCCAGAAGGAAGGGGGGAGCTGCCTGGGTCACAGGGGCAGTGGCTGTAGAGGCAGGCTGTCTAGAAGCCTGATAGGTGTGAGCTCCCAGAGAGAAGGGTCTGCACCCTCTCCTTCTTGGTGACCCGTCACAGGGGCCCGATGCACAGCAGATCTCCAGGAGACGCTGGTGGAAGATAGAACCGAGAGGGCCAATGAGGGGCATCTTTGTACCTGGGGATTTTCTCAGGGTCCTCCAGCCAGGAAGCCCTCCCCTCAGCCCTCGATAACCCTAGAAGCCCAGCTCCCTCTTTGTGACGTGGGGACAGGAGGGGAGGGTGAATCAGTGGCTGGGACTGTGGCCTGCGTGAACTGCCTGGCAGGTAGCCCGGAGGAGGATGAAAAGCTGATAGGTGGACCCTCCTTGCTGGTAGGGCCACTGATCTCTTTCAAGGGCTTAGCGAATGCCAGAGGAGGGGTCTGCCCTCTGGCAACTAGGGCCTACCTGTGCCCTCTGCGGCCTGTGGAGGCCACTGGAACTGGACCCTGCATCATGAGGTGGTGGGATTCTTAGTACTGACTGGGTAGTCTCCCCCACCACCTCCATCCAAGCACAGATAAAGCCACACAAGTAAACCCTGTCTCAAGGAAGCTTCTCTTTTGTCTGGATGCCCAACTGAGGCCAGAGTGAAGGCCAGAGAGGGTAGGGCTGGGGTGGGACTCAGGGCCTGGATAGCCTGAGAGGGTGTGGGCCTCCCTCCCTGGCCTCAGCACTGACGTCCCTGGCCGGGGTCCGAGGGCCTGGGGGATCGGGCTTCAAAGCGGGTCCCAGTGGGGCCTGGGGAGCTGCCTGGGCCACCGCTGTCCTGGGGCCCTGGCCTCCTGTAGGAGCAAGGCCTCAGCAGTCTTTTCCTGTCCCTATCTGTGCCCGTGCCTCTCCGTCTCTCTGGGCCCTCCACCCTCTGCCCCTCTCTCTCCCCGCCTCCTCGCACCCATCACCCTGTGTCTCCCACGCCCTCCGCTTCTGCACTCTCTGAGCCTCCGTCCCTCCCTCTCGGTGTTTCTCCTCATCGTCTCTCTGTCCTTCCTGCCGGCTCTGGCTGTCTGTCTCCTGGCTCTGTCCTGTCCCTGCTCCGTGCCTCGGATTTGTCCCTGCCCCTCTTCCTCCTGTCCTCCTTTCTGCCTCGGTACCCCTCTGCTTCTCACCCCACCTCTGTCACCGCGTCACCACCTCTGCCTCCCCATTTTCTCTCTCTGTCTATCCCTTCATTCCCCTCTCCCCCACGTCTGCCTCCCCCCACCAATCTGTCCCCTCTGTTCCTGTCCCTGTCCCTGTCCTCTCCTCCCGTTGGTCACAGGTGGGCTCCTTCTTCATGATCAACCTGTGCCTCGTTGTCATAGCGACCCAGTTCTCGGAGACCAAGCAGCGGGAGCACCGGCTGATGCTGGAGCAGCGGCAGCGCTACCTGTCCTCCAGCACGGTGGCCAGCTATGCGGAGCCCGGCGACTGTTACGAGGAGATCTTCCAGTACGTCTGTCACATCTTGCGCAAGGCCAGGAGGCGTGCCCTGGGCCTCTACCAGGCCCTGCAGAGCCGGCGCCGGGCCCCGGGCCCGGGGGCGTCCCCCTCCGCCAAGCCCGGGCCCCGCGCCAAGGAGCCCAGGCATTACAGTAAGTGGTCCCGCCTGCCGCCGCCTCCGGGGTGCCCCGTTCAGGCCTCGTGTGCCTCCAGCGGGGGATTCTGGGGACCCCGCGACGGCACCGCTGGCGAACGCGCCCCCCTGTCTCCTCGGCACAGGCAGAGCCGTCCGGCAGGTTGAGAACCCGGGTCTTCCCTCGGGAGCTCCAGTCCGTGCCCCTTGCTCCCTCCCTGCTTTCCTGACCCCCTGCCGGTGCCCGGTCTGGGCTGGCCTTGGGCTGGGGGCACCCAGCACCCCGAGCCCTGGAGGATCCCCTTCCGACCCCAGTGCGGTCACACGTGGACCCAGGCTCCGCCCGGGATTCACATTTGAAAGAAACGGACGGTTGTCTATCCTGTCTGGTAAAACGCTAACGCTCCACTCCTCTCAGCCTGCCTCACGCCCCACGTGGCTTCCTGCTGCCACCACGTGCTAGCACACCAGAGCAGTGACGACCAGCCACCTGGGATAAGGGGGCTGTGGCCACCGTGCTGAGGCATGGTGTGTCGGGGACCAGAGATCTTCTGTCTCTGGGCCGTTAGGCTCAGAAGGGGCTCTCCATTCACTCTCTCGTCTGCTCTAGAAAACAGTCCTGAGAAGAGGGCAGAGTGAGTTATATTATCCCGTTTTCAGATGGGGAAACCAAGGTTCAGATAGGTGAAGGGAGTCACCTGGGGTCACGTAGCGTGTCCGTGACAAAATCCGCATCAGGGACATCAGAGCTGGGTTTGCTGGGCCCGCGTCCAGAGGGAAATGAACGCTCCCGCTCAGCTCCCCACAGAAGGCAAATGCGCCCCAGGAGAGGAGTCCCGCCCCCCAGCTGGTGTCAAGACGGAAGTCAGCAGGGTCCCAGCCCCGGAGCAGGTGCACAGCATGTGACCTGGACAGCCTGGGCCCCTCTATGGGCCTCAGTCTCCTGCTCCGTCAGGTCGAGGATGAGGCTCACGCGCAGGGGGAGTCAGCCACCCCCGGGCCCTGCCCCTGCAGCTCTCAAGCCCTGAGATTCTTGGGAGGCAAGCCGGAGAGAGAACTGATGCTTGAAGCTGCCGCCCACCCCTCCTCGGGCGCCAGCCGTCCAGGCGTGGTCTTGCGGGAGGCTCCAGGTGGCCCGTGGGCTGGCCCAGCACGTGGACGGGGCAGCTGGGGTCTGCCTGCAGGGTCCCTGGATGACGCGGGCTTCTTGCTGCTGCCCCCACCCTCTCCGGGGAAGCTGTGTGGAAAGAAGTCCAGGGGGCTCTCTGGAGGGGGACCTTGCCCCCTGCCCCTGGGCCTCAGTACCCTCCTGCTTCCCTGGGAAACAAGTTTCAGGGGGCCCAGCCCCAGGCACGAGTGGGGCTGAGGTGGGCCTTACTGAAGTGGGATTGACCCCGGGCTTCTGCCTGCCCACGCCGGCTCCCAGGGGATGAATGAATCAGAAGCCTCGTCCGGGGCTTCAGGAGATATTGGGAGGCAAATCTGGAAAGGGAGGGTAGGCATTACATGTTTTTCATTCCCTTTAATTATTATTATTCTTAAATGTTTATTTAGTTATTTTGAGAGAGAGAAAGAGAACACGCATGTGGGAGGGACAGGGTAGGGTGGGTAGAGAGAGAGAGAGAATCCCAAGCAGGCTCTGCACTGTGCCCCCATGGGGCTTGATCCCATGAACCCTGAGACCATAACCTGGGAAGACACCAGGACTCAGATGCCAGACGCCTGAGCCACCCAGGCACCCTCCCTTTAATATTACCAATAGCTTTTCTTTGCTTGCACCAGGAAAACGTGTATTTTAGGACAGTACAGGTAAACATAAAGAAGAGACCAAACCACCCAGGAAGAACCTCTCTGACACCTCCTTGAAATGGTTAAAGATGGCAGAACTGTGGTCTAAGTGTGGTTCAGGCTTCTTAAACTCTCCCTGGGGCAGCACAGGGGGTGAACACTTCTGCCCCCCACTCCCTGCTGTGCCTCCCGTCAGCCCCTCCTGCCTGCTTCCCCTGGAGCCATCCCGACTCTCAGGGGGCTTCTGGAGCAAGGGTTTGCCTCCTGCCCAGGGCTCCTGCCTCCCTCCCTCCCCGGGACACAAGCCCCACATACAGGTGGGAGGAGAATTGAAGATGGAGAGGTCACCTTGGCTCTCTCGAAGGGGCGTCCGTCCGCCACATCAAGCTGACTCTTTTAGAAGCTCTTTTAGAAACTCTTTCTCAGCCATTTCCCCAAGTCCAATGTGAGCAAGCAGGACCGTGGGAGGGCTGGGCCTCGGGCCAGGAGATGATGTAGCCAGGACAGGCGACAAACACACGTGCCCCAGGCACTGTTCTAGGCACGCCAACACATCCGCAGTAGAACCCTCCCCACGGCCCTCGCTTGTCACAGGGGCCAGCCAAGCCCAGGGAGGTAAAGCCAATCCCCCAGGAACTACAAGCCACTCGACCTCCTCACCCAGACAGAACCTGAGCCACAGGAACTTGAAGCACACATGTGTCCCAGGGTTAGCTTGACCCCTGGGGTGGGCAGGTCCTGCCCCCTCGGAGCCCCTCAAGCCTGTGTAACCTGAGGCGCCGACCCTGCCTTGTGTTTGCTTCGCAGAGCTGTGCCCTCGACACAGTCCCCTGGACCCGATGCCCCACACACCGGTGCAGCCCATCTCTGCCATGCTGGCCTCCGATCCTGCCAGCTGTCCCCGCTGCCAGCACGAGGGGAGCCGGCGGCCCTCGGGCCCGGGCAGCACCGACTCGGGCCAGGAGGGCTCCGGCTCTGGTGGCTCAGGTGGTGACTCGGAGGAGGTGGATGGGGACGGGGCCCGGAGCAGCGAGGATGGGACCTCCTCAGGCCTGGAGAAGGAGGACGAGGAGGAACAGGCGGACGGGGCGGCCCGGCTGTGCGGGGATGTGTGGCGGGAGACCCGAGCCAAGCTTCGAGGCATCGTGGACAGCAAGTACTTCAACCGGGGCATCATGATGGCCATCTTGGTTAACACCGTCAGCATGGGCATCGAACACCATGAGCAGGCCAGTGGGGGCGGGCGCTGGGCGCGGGGGCGGACATGGGCACGGGGGGAGGGCTGGACGCCTAGGCCCAAGCCGGCCGCACGCAGCCTGGGCTGTTGAACATCCCCAGGGTGTCTGTCTCCCACCTGACCAGGGCCGGGTCCGATTCTGCCCTATGGCCTCAGTGCCCAGCCCCGGGCCCGGCCCAGAGGAGAGGGAAGCTCCAGGTGTGTGCCTAGTGGGTGAGTGAGCGAGGGAGGCGGAGCTGGTACTGGGGCCAGCTGGGTTGAGATCCAGCTCCCGTCTCCTGAGTGGCGCGGCCTGGACACGAGGCACCCACAGCCCTTCCCCCGTCCGTCCTGCCAAACCTGACTTCCGGTCATCGCCTTTCCCACGAGCCCTCCTGTCCATTCTCCCCCAAACAGCTGGCGTGGTCTTTCCCGAGGCCGGGCTTTCCCCTCTCCCCAACCTGCCGCAGCTCCCCATTGCCCTCGGCACAAAACACAGACCTTTCCTCTGACAGCCAAGGTCCCTCTGTGGCAGTGCCTTCAGCAGGTTGGGCGTCCTCCTGTCCCTGATGTCCCCACATAGTCCACCCTCCACGCAGCCCGGCGGCACTGAGGGTGGCCCCAGGGTTGCCCTGCAAACACTGTCCCCCGTCTCCCTCCTAGGCCAACCCTGTGGTTTCTTCTGTCCTCAGCACTGGGTGCGTGGAGTGCAGAGTGGGTGTTGGCTGAGTTCATGGTGTGTCCCAGGCCCCCTGGGCCATCGGGGTTCAGAGACATGGCCCCAAGGGAGATGGCAGGAGCACAGGGAGGATGTGTAAGAGATAAGAGGCTACTTGTAGGGACACAGGAAGGAGGGCTGTGGGGGGTTAGCACACATGTGCCCAGCAAATAGGTCATACCGTGGGTGACGGCCTGTGTGACAAGTCCATTCCTGGCTCCATTCAAAAAACACCATTTTCTGACTCACCTAGCCCCTGGGTGGGTTTCCTCTGTTGACCTGGCCCCTACCCCGTGAGGGCACCCCGCTTGGCAGCTAGTGACCCTGAGGCCTAGGGAGGGGATGTCACTGATCCAAGGTCCCACAGACAATCGGGTCAGATTTGAACCCACATATATATATATATTTTTTTTAACATTTATTTATTTTTGAGAGACAGAGAGAGGCAGAGCATGAGCAGGGGAGGGGCAGAGAGAGAGGGAGACACAGAATCTGAAGCAGGCTCCAGGCTCTGAGCTGTTTGTTAGCACAGAGGCTGGCTCGGGGCTTACGAACCGCGAGACCATGATCTGAGCTGAAGTCGGAGGCTCAACCGACTGAGCCACCCAGGTGCCCCACCCACATCTTTCTTTAACATTTATTTATTTTTGAGTGGGTGAGAGAGAGTGCACAAGCTTGAGCAGGGGAGGGACAGAGAGAGAGGGAGACACAGAATCCGAGGCAGGCTTCAGGCTCCGAGCTGTCAGCACAGAGCCTGACACGGGGCTCGAACCCATAGAGCCATGAGATCACGACCTGAAGCGAAGTCGGACGCTCAACCGATTGAGCCACCCAGGCGCCCCTGAACCCACATCTTTCTGTGGCGAGACTGACACCCCCACGGGGTTCAGAATGTGGCACCCCCCTTTGCTTTCCTGCCGCCCGCTTTCTGCGGAGGCCCTCCACCCACCCACTGCACCCCGCGATGGGCCACACTCTCATTTCCCTCTTCATTAGCTCTCCAAGCGCTGGCTTCATTCAATTTCCTTAAATGCGGCCCCTGGGGCTGCAGCGACACTCTGTTTGGAGCTGCTGGTTTGCCAGCCATTCCAGCTTAATTAAAAAGGTCTCTGGGGAAGACTGGGGGGAAGGCTGTCTGCAGGGTAAAGCTGGTGAGAGAGGCAGCCCAGACCTCCTGGCCTAGGGCTCAGGCTCCTGGCCTTTCCTGGCCTAGGCTTGCCGGTGGGGTGGGGGCAGAAGCCTGGCTGGGCCAGCGGTCCCAGAGGGGGTCTCGTGGGGAAACAGTGATGTTGGGGTCCTGGCTCTAATTTCTGAGCGGCTTGTCACGGTGCTGCCTGGGCACGGTTCCCGCCAGGGGCTTGTGGGAAGCGGCTTGTGAGAGCCAATTTTCTGTCACTCGGGAACTTCGAAAGCCTGATTTTAAACAGTTGGTAGCTTGGAATTGGCCATGGTGGGAGTCTTTACACCACAGAAATTGGCATATGCTACAGATCAGGGCCACTTTTCAGAGGCCTGTTTGCCAGGGTTCTGTGGGCCGCGGCCCTTTGCCTCCCCACCAGCCCGATCTCAGGGCCTCCCTGCTTGGCCTGTACCCTGCTCGCCCCCTGCTGTCCCTGCCTGGGCTCCTTCCCTGGTTCTGCCGCTGACCAGCATGTGGCCTCGGGCAAGTCACTTGGCCTCCTTCAGCCAGCAGCTCCGTCTGTAACCGGCCCCCGGACCCTCTGCACAGAGGGGCTGGGAGGGTTAAATGCGTTAAGCAGCCCAGCACGTAGTAGGTGCTCACTAATTTGCAATTATTTATGAGTCTTCTGTTTGAACCTCACATCACCACCCTTGGGGTGAATTTACCTCCTGCTGTCTGGAGCCTCAAAAAATTAATGAATTTTAAAAAAAAGTGAGGGGGAGGGAGAATTTTTTAAAATGTTCTTTTTAAAGCAGCCTGGAGTGGCAGCCATTGTTCTGCAGAGCGCAGCGTGGGGCCTGCTCGGGGCCTGCTGGTATTTTTGCCCCACTCCTCTCTGCTCCCAGACGTGGCTTGGCGGGAAACGATCCGCCCCCGTGTTTATTTTGAGCAGCCCCGTCTGAGGTGGTGCCTGCAGAGAGAGGTGGCCCAGGGCCACTGGGAGGCCGGGAGAGTGGGGAGGAGGAGAAGGAGAAGATGGGTGAACGCGCACAGCCCCTTTCCTGCAGGGGTGGAGACCGTGGAGGGGAGGCATCGCAGGGGCCTGGCAGGGAGACTGGCGCGGCCATGGGGACAATAGGGAGTGACCGTGGGGCACAGCCTGGGCATTGCTCTCTTACTCCATCCGCCACCCCTGCCTCTGTGGTCTCAGGTGCTCAAATGAGAGGTGAGACTGCAGGTGTCTCCGGCCAAAGTGGCCATTGCTACCCAGATCACAAGGGGTTCCCACGTCTCTAGGTTCCTCATGGTCAAAGATGCTGTTCCTTGCAGGGACTGGCCTGGGAGGCGGTGACAGGTAAAAGGGGGGGGGGTCATCCAGGCAGGGGCCTGCTTGTGACCCATGAGGTGGTCAGACGGGGCTGAAATCTGCTCTTTGGCTGAGGCTACATGACAAGCAGGCGGATGGGGTCAGATTCCTCCATCATTACTCACTGTCATGTGTTGCCACATTTCTTCCCCTTGTGATCCTCATGGCTGCCCGATGGGGCAGGCAAGGCGAGTGTCTCGTATCCATTGAGCAGATGGGGAAACTGAGGCATGCCCAGGTGATATGGTGAGCAACTGAGAGAGCAGGGCTCCAGGATGCCAAGGTGGAGGTGGAGGTTCCACAAAGCAGACAGGAGGCGGGGGGGGGGG